CAATTTCCGATAATTTATACACTAGACGTTTATGTGGGACGCTGTCGAACGCTTTCTTGAAATCCGTATAGATGATGCCGACCTTACCATCTTCATCCAGTGCGCGAGTCCACTGCTCAGTGGAGAGCAGTTGAGAGTGGTTGGAGACCTGACAGTAAGTTGTTCTCCTCCAGGAACTGCATTGTCGCCTTCTTGATTATCGTTTCCATCATCTTACAGCAAATGCAAGTTAGGTTAACGAGCCGATAATTGTTCACCTTCGTTTGGGCCCCGCCCTTGTATATCGGGTAAATACTTACAGTTTTCCAGTCAGCCGGTAGTCTTCCTAATTCAAATGAAGAAAGAAAGATATGTGCTACGGGCTTGGTGAACTCACTTGCTAATTCTTTCAAGAAATTGGCCGGTATATTGTCTGGACCGGATGACTTTGCTTCTTTGAGGCTTTGCAGCTCTCTTTTAGCTGCTGAAGTTAAGAATAATAAAGATTGAAGCGCTGTACCAGCGTCTACAATAGCATCGTTGACGTTGTCAAAATGCAGCTTGGTTTCCATAGTGAATACCGAAACACAAAACCAGTTACAATACTCGGCTTTCTCGCCATTCCCAACGACTTCCACGCCATTATCATCCTTAAGTACTGTGACTGGGTCCTTGTTTTTAATCTACTATCAATATAGCGGAATAGAATCTTGGGCTTGCCTTCAGCTTGTTGGCGGATTCTTGATTCATAGTTTTTCCTGGCCTGACGAATCGATTTTTTAATCGCATTTCTTTGGCGACTGAACTCATTGAGGTGTATCGGTGACCCAGTTTCTCTAAATAACTTCCATTTCTCATTTTTCTTCTTAAAGTGTCTGTTAAGGTCTCTCGTCAGCCAGGCAGGGCAACTAGTCATCTTTTGTAGCTTCACCGGACAACAGCGCTTAAAAAGATCTAATAAAATAGTCTTAAGCAAACCCCAGTCATCCTCCAGATCTCCCTTGAGCAAACAGTCCCAATTCACGAACGATAGTGTCTTTTTCAATCGAACTAATATCTGCCTTTCATATATTGGGCTAGCCCTCTGTTTTCCTCCGACGTTGAGAATTGAGTGAGTAATCCCACATTAGCGTTGCATGATCACTATTATCGAGCGGAGCACTTGAATGCACTTCATCAATGTAGGACAAATCCTTCGTAAAAATGAGATCCAAGCAATGAGCTCCCTGGTTCTCTCGAAATCTGGTTAAGGACTTAACGTTCTGTGCCAGAGGGAGATCAAGTGTGATTTTTATTAACTTAGAACTGAAGGAATTTGGCGCTCCCTACACTGTCCAATTCTCCCAATCTATTGCAGGTGCGTTAAAATCACCAGCAATAAGAACCTCTTGGTGGCTAGCTGCTTCCTTCACCAGACCAAGGAACGAGTCGTCAGGTACACTCAGAATGTTTGGTGGCCTGTTTACGGTCAAGAATTCTA